CATTACACAAAAAACCCTTTGATTTGTGAATTTCAATGATTCTCACGAAACAAAACAAATTCTTAATTAAATGAGTAGTTTTCGATAAATATTTCTATAAAATTATTAATGAGTTGCATTTCCAATTGAAATTGTTTTTTCACTTTCACTTTACAGACATTTGCCAATACTTTACACACAGTTACTTAGTTTTCATTTGCGGTAAACAGATATTACATCCAAATCTTTAATACATTTGATGTTAAATATTGAAATTTATTCAATACTTAATATACTAATAAACAAGGTTAGCATTATTCATATTCAAATGAACACATTTACACCATTACCGATAAGTATGAAGCACGGAGTTTTAGGCACTTTTTATCAAATACTAAACTGTTTTTCGTATTGAATATTATAATTTCGATGGAATTATTTGATTATTAATTATTTAACGAGAATTTAATGAAATATCTAATGAAATATAGTTTGTATTAAGAGATTTTGAAAATTACAAATAAAGACTTGATATCACATAAGGGAATAATAATTCAAAAACATTTATTTTAGAAATAATGACAATAAAAATCAAATTCACATTAATGTCTACAATGAAGCGAATGAAGTGAAAAAGTTTTATAACAAGTGTTGTCTCAACAATAAAAGTATACTTTTATTTAGTTGTGATAAGGGAACTGGAGTCTTAGACTAACAAATATAAGTGAAACTAATATTAATAATATATAGCGAGTGAGTCTATCATTTAGTAAAATCGCTATTTATTCATATTATTATTGATAAAACAAAAAGAGTTTTTGTACTGTTTTTATTCGACACTCAAATAGTGATTAGACAAAACACCAATTGATTGCATGTAACTATAACTTGAAAGCTAAATGTTTTATTTACACAATTCACTTATGAGAGAGAGAGAGAGAGAGATTAGATGACAATTAAGGCAAATATAGTATAGTAACAGATATAGTAATCCGAGAATTAGCAAACATTAATAATTTTTAAATTGAAATCTTATGTGAAATTTGAGATTATTTAGTCTATTGTACTGTAATATTAGTATCAATCGTAATATACAATTAGTGTTATTAAAAAATATAATATAGAAAATAATTTTAGAGTTTGAAAATTATAATCATTAAACTTTTACCTCGATTACTTAACTACTTTATTATTTATAATTTATAGTTATATTTATTATATTATTCTAATAATCTGTTTTCTATATTCAAAAATAAACACATATGACTGTTTGATTAAATTATTTTCAAAGTCGGAATTCACGTAATAATAAACAACTTATTTTTGACACATCTAGAAAGTAATCAAGGTCACTATATAAGTTACCTAATACAATACAGTACATACAACAGTATAGTAGTCTACCATATATACCAAAGAGAATACCGTAGTGTTTATAATTATACTAGTAATAGTTATTCTGTATTCAATATAATGAATAAATTTATGCTAAACATTGTAGCAATGGTTGAGTAGGTTTATTGTGGACAGAGATGAGTGAGTGAGAGAGAGAGAGAGAGAGAGAGAGAGCTGGAGAGAGATTAGATGACAATTAAGGCAAATATAGTGTAGTAACAGATATAGTAATCCGAGAATTAGGAAACATTAATAATTTTTAAATTGAAATCTTATGTGAAATTTGAGATTATTTAGTCTATTGTACTGTAATATTAGTATTAATCGTAATATACAATTAGTGTTATTAAAAAATATAATATAGAAAATAATTTTAGAGTTTGAAAATTATAATCATTAAACTTTTACCTCGATTACTTACTACTTTATTATTTATAATTTATAGTTATATTTATTATATTATTATAATAATCTGTTTTCTATATTCAATAATAAACACATATGACTGTTTGATTAAATTATTTTCAAAGTCGGAATTCACGTAATAATAAACAACTTATTTTTGACACATCTAGAAAGTAATCAAGGTCACTCTATAAGTTACCTAATACAATACAGTACATACAACAGTATAGTAGTCTACCATATATACCAAAGAGAATACCGTAGTGTTTATAATTATACTAGTAATAGTTATTCTGTATTCAATATAATGAATAAAAACAATATTTATAAGTGAATGAATAACCTATATTTAAATTGCATATATCTTATTAGGATTATTATGAATCTATTAAACAAAACTAATATAATTTATATTACCGGTACATAAATATACAGTACATGTCAGATTCAACGATTTGTTACATTTATTGAAAAGATTTGTTTATTTAAAAGTTTGTAATGTGTTGTGAAGTTATCGTAAAAATTGAATAAAAAAGTGGAAAATCTATAAAAAAAATTGTCTGGAAAACACATTTTAAATCTCATTCTTAATATACAGTACCTGTATTATACTGGCAATGATTTTATGATTTTTCACATTTAATTAAAAATCATTTTAATTACATGTTTGTCCTTCCCATACATGTCTTTCCCGTTATTCCCTAACCTTTTTTGTCGTTGTGAACATGACTTTTGAATTATCTATTTATTTGTTTATTAATTTAATGCTAGGCTTATATAATATTTACTTATTGCATTGCACTTATACAGTGCTATGAGAGCAATATGAATGCTGTAGTAACTTATATAATGATTGCACACAAAGCATTTCTAATCAATGATTCACATGTTTTTAATCCATAATAAATGAGTAAAACCCACCATTTCATTAGAAAAACAGTTTAACATCCGAAACAAAATTCACAGAAAAATAAATATTATATTTAAAACATAAATACAAGAATTCAATTGACTTTTCAGACGATGGATATTAACCCTGTNAACAAAATTCACAGAAAAATAAATATTATATTTAAAACATAAATACAAGAATTCAATTGACTTTTCAGACGATGGATATTAACCCTGTTTTGTGTGAACCGAGAATTTTTATTTATTTTTATACGAAAATATTTCGCGTGTCTATCAGAAAATGAATATTCATAGTAAAAGTGAGAATATTCTTATGCTAAGCTATAATAGCGGTAATATAAGTAGGAATTTTCATGAATACATTTATTAGTTTCATTGGAAAAGCAAATGTTTTGTTTAAAATTTTGAGCAAATTTTATATAAACTTATATCCGATCGAGAATTTCAAGTTTATGTAAACTATTGTTTGAAAAATAAGTTTGTGTTAGAAATTCCAAACAAATTTTGAGGGGAATGTGATGTATATATGAGGACTTTCCTATCGATCACATGGAGTTCCACTTTTATTCCACTTTATAGTACAATAAACAGCAGTTCACACGAATTCTTTGCCAGAGAGAGAGAGAGAGAGAGAGAGAGAGAGAGAGCTCATACACACTCATTGCCTAATAATCTTAACGATCAGAATCTAGTGATTAAGTGCTGTAAACATAACATTAAATACAAACAAAAAGTTCGCCTAATCTTTGCAACAATCATGACAACCAGCGCCGGGGTTTTAGGCAGTGCTCTAGTAATGGCTTAGACTTAACACAAATATACAGATTTTTATTCCAACACTCGATTCCATACGACATCGTATGCCTTCATAAGTGGGTTTTGTTATCAATTTTACAATCATTTTCTTTATATGATATGAAATTTCTCTTTCAATTTATTTTAAAATGTTTTTAATTTTTGTTGTTTGAGTCACATCTGTATTGATGTTTAGGAAATTCTTGTGTTAACATAGCGTTCAGAATATTGTTTTGTGTATATATTCTTGTGCTGAAACTGAAATATATTAAAACATTTTGTATGATTGAGAATTGCTTTCTCTAATATAATATAATAATAATAAAATTCATTATTTGGTAACTTAATAAGCTTATAAAATTGATGCAAAATAAGCTTGATATTTATTTATATAGAATGTTATTCAAGTTATTATATAACATATTGTGATTAAATTCTTACATTTGGAAATTGGATACTTGATAGATTTTATTAGTAACTCGTTATCAATATTTATATCATTGTTATACAGTATAACTTATACTACAGTATATTATAAAGTGTTTTATACCGGTGTAATAAAATTTCAACTACTTGTGCCAATATTGAATATTTTTGTAGTTTTTATATTGTATTTAGTGCTGATTGAACTGAATCGACAAAACAAAGGGCAGTATGTTTTGTGTGAAACGTTGTGGTGAAGACATCTCTCTGGAAAAGGAGGAGAAAAAGATCAACAAATTAATTGATGAGACGCTCAAAAGGGACAGAAAGGCCGCCAGACGTGAACTCAAACTACTGTTGTTGGGAACGGGAGAGTCCGGTAAAAGTACTTTTGTTAAACAAATGCGAATCATTCATAACAGCGATTACACGGAGTCTGAGAGAAAAAGTTATATTCAATACGTTTATCACAACATTATTATCGCGATTCAGTCTATCATTAAAGCCATGAATGACTTGAATATTAAGTATGAAAATGATAACAACCGCACAAATGCTGAGCTTTTAGAGACTATTTATGTCGACTACAAGGTGTACCACTTGACACAACTGAGCGCACCGGTAGTATTGGCTGTTAAACAACTATGGGATGACTCTGGAGTGCAAAAGTGTTATAACCGTCGAAATGAGTACCAATTGAGTGATTCTGCAAAGTATTACTTCGAAGACATCGACAGACTATCGGCGCCCACCTATACGCCCACTCGAGAGGATATACTGAGAGTTCGCATACCGACTACAGGTATCAATGAATACACGTTTGAGTTAAGTTCTGTGCTCTTCCGTGTGGTGGACGTCGGGGGCCAGAGGTCTGAGCGGCGGAAATGGATCCACTGCTTCGAGAACGTGACGTCCATTATCTTCTTGGCGGCACTCAATGAATACGATCAGACATTATTTGAGTGCAACCATAACAACCACTATATGCAGAATCGTATGGAGGAATCGCAGGCCCTCTTCCACACCATAATCACCTGCAAGTGGTTTATGGACTCCTCTTTCATACTATTCCTCAACAAAACCGATTTGTTTTCAGAGAAGATAGTGTTGTCACATCTCGTCGACTACTTTCCTGAATACGACGGCCCCGTGAAGGAGGCCCTCCCGGCGCGCGACTTTGTACTCAAAATGTATTTGTCGTTAAACCCATTCCCAGATAAATATATTTTCAGTCACTTTACGTGTGTAACCGATACGGAAAACATGAGATTTATTATAGAGTCCGTCAAACATACTATACTTCAACGTCATATTATTGACTTCAATATGGCTTAAGTATAATCTTAACACTAAACCCGACATCAAAACACGTAACATATTACTTAATCTTTTCAGTTAAACCCAAAGTATGTCCAAAATATTCCTATAATTATCGCATCAATTCTTGTTAACAGAACTACATTTGAATGTCATTTTGATTAGACTTTTATAAAATCAATGTTTGAAAAGTATTTTTGTTTATATCACATAATCAATGATTAATAAGCATTTACTTCTTTATTCTGTATTTTATATGACATGTAATTCTTATACTAAATATGTAATAATGTAGTAATTATCAGTAAACCCTCATTATAGAAAATTAAGGGCATTTGCACTTTGGCACATACCATATGATATGATTATGCTATGATTAAATCTTAGTTGTTATTAAAAGTCCTTAAATATATCTAAAAAAGCAAAAGTAAGATATACAGTGTACAGTGAACTGGTTGTACTAATGTTTTACTTGAAATCTCAACTAATATTGAAATCATGACAAAGTGGGCACAAATCATAAAAATAATCAAATATGTTGATTAAAAGGATTAGAGAATAAGTGACATAAATGTTAACATATAGAATAAATGATGTATTATTAATAATATGATCGTATATGAGAATATTTGTTAAAACATATAAAATAGACCAATAATTTGTAAGCAAATATGTATTAATTTTCAGTTAAGTGCAATTAATTTATATACTAAACAAACAATTGTTATATTGTATTGTAACTAAATTCATGATGTCGTAAAATATATAACTTTATTTAATGTTTAGAATTAATAAAATATTTATTTATTTTTCCAATAAAATCAATACATTTTGAGTTGTGTATCAACTCTACTCCAAATGGTCACTCAAACGGGTAATCCTATCGAAAGCGAACAAAAGGGCCAAACAGTCGGACTTGATATGGAGGGGGTTGGGGGCGACGGCTAAGGGAATGGGACAGTGGTGTTGGTGGGGGTTAATGCGGAACAGTTTGAAGGCCAGCTTAATGATTGGCATCTTTCGGATAATTTGCCTCATTTTTTCGTGTTTCAAGTACTCGACCAATTCGGGGGGCATAGTCCGGGCTATTGCATGCATTCCCGTTATTATGAACTTTCTAATCAAACTACCCGTTCCCATAAGTCATGTAATAATATTATATTAGAATATGTTGTATATACTGTAATATGACTGATAAAAAGGATATAAGTAAAACTGACCAGTGTAGATCACTCATATCCATAGGTGAATGGGGGAGGGCAGCCCACAGGAATGTGTTGCGCATAACGTGGAAGAGTGCTAATAGTCGTGGGAAAGCATTGTTCATCAACTTGATGAACCGCCCGACCACATGCAACGCCACCGGACTGCGACACAAACCGTGTAAAGATTTGATTTGATTCATGGCTATGATCCGTATTATCAATTGTATGCCCGGATTGACGCTGAATATGTCGTCTGTCAACTCCATTATGCGGATACTTTTGCCCACATTGTGTCTGTTCAATACAATTGTAGCAATTGTTTTAAAGCTCCGATGAATTAAATTATGTGCTCGATAATTATCATTTACCACACTAACCTGCACCACACGTTGTGTATACTATGGGCCGTTTCGGGGAACATACGGCCCGGTTTCAGGTAGTTGTAGGTCAACAGGTAATCTAATTCATAGAGTTCTCGAAGTTTGTGGGGTCTGTTCGCCTCCACTCCCGTTGTGGTCAACCCATAGCCTATGCATTCATATAAGTTATATTTTATCAGTTTGTGTACAATTTAACAAGCAATTGTTATCATTATTACCACAAATTACTACTAAAGCTAACAATTTAAACATTATTTAGTAGAAATTATAATGTAGAATATTTTAATTAAATATAGTTTTTTAAGGAAATATGTTTTTCTAGTAATTTTGACCGATTTTTGTAATTGATATGAAAGGCAGTTGAATATTGAAGTGGTATTACACATACACTAGTCTACCACTATTTTCTCTAAAATGTCCATTTGTTTTTCTTAGTTTAATTAAAAATTTAAGTTATAATAATTTTTATTTTTATATACTTATTCTCATAACTAATTAACAAATAGAAAATTACAGATTTATAGTTTCAAAAATATATGAATTGTTAAACCGAGTTGTCCATAATTAAGTTTTAATTTATCACGATCTAATTGTTATTTAATTAAAAGTAATGTTATAAATAAATACTGAATGCTTAGTAGTGAGAGCTATAATAATAGTATAATTTAATTATTCATTCATTAATTAAAACTAAATTCTCATTTAATCTTCAATTTAATTAAACACAAGAATACACAATAAAGACACGACAAATGAACAGGGACATTTGCCATTTAAATTCTTATTGCTAGAATATTCAAACAGAATAGTTGTATCAAGCACAAAAGAATTTATATAAGTTTTAAATCACGAATTTGTTACCAGAATCTCTAATCGAGACGCTATCTATGAGTAATGAATATAATTCAAAAGTGCAATATTAATATTCCTACGATAATTGATCAGGGACCTCGTTATATAATGTCGCATAAATAACGTGCGCTCAATTGTGCAAACATTTTGTTGAACCAATCCATTGAAAGTCTATAGAGAAATATTACACCAGTGTTAATGGAATTATATATGGGTTCGTAAATCCACAAAGTATGCTTGCACCTATTTTTAGAATTATATATTACCAGTTAAATAGTTAAGTTAATACTACATTTATTAAATTTAATTGTACAAGGTATAAACTAAATTGATTTGCAATGAAAACATATGCCATTGCCAAAGTAGCCATGCTAATATATGGCGTTCAAAGTGGTGCCCCCAACCCAATGCCTGCTTATAGGCCACACCTACTGGTGTTCATCACTAGCGCTTCACTCACTTTATTGTTCACTAAATACTCTCCAAAGAGAGAGAAAGAGAGAGAAAGAGAGTCTCTGAGAGAGCGGCTATTGATTATCGCGAGAGCCATAGCCATAGCATTGTGTGAGTGTTTGTCTCCCATAAGCCATCACTAGTAGTCGTCTATTAAT